ACTCACCTCAGCCTCCCAAAGGCGCGGGATTACAGGCTGAGCCACCAAGCCCAGCTTGTGCCTGGTTCTTAAATATTACCATGCTTTTTGTCACTGACTTCAGAATAATAGCATGTTATTCTGGAAACAACACTGAATTTGAAAAATTATTTTCCTTTTTGCTAATGGTTTGGATGGAGTCTTCATATCTATAGCATACTAACTGGTTTATTTAATATGCATACCATGATCAATTAAAGCTGTCTGGTAAAATTTTTAAAAACCACAGTGATTCATTATCACTGACATTTTTTGCACTTGTAAGACACACACCAAAAAACCTTTTTAAAAAACCCTCGCTGGGATCGGTGGCTCAGCCTGTAATCCCAGTGCTTTGGGAGGCTGAGGTGAGTGGATTGCCTAAGTCCGTGGGTTCGAGACCCACCTGGGCAACTTGGTGAGACCTCATCTCTACAATAAATCAAAAACTAGCCATGCGTGGTAGCGTGTGCCTGTAGTTCCAGTTACTTGGAAGGCTGAGGCAGAAGGATCTCCGAAGCCCAGCAGGTCGAGGCTGCAGTGGCCAGGAGTGACCACTGCATTCCAGTCTAGGTGACAGAGTGAGACTCCAACTCAAAAAACAAAACAAAACAAAATCTCTTGGACTGAGCGCAGTGGCTCAAGCCTGTAATCCCAGCACTTTGGGAGGCCAAGGTGAGGGGATTGCCTGAGCCCATGGGTTCAAGAACAGCCTGGGCAACTTGGTGAGACTTATCTCTATAATAAATCAAAACAATTAGCTGGGCGTTGTAGCACATGCCTGTAGTTTCAGCTACTTGGAAGGCTGAGGCGGAGGAATCGCCGGGGCCCAGCAGGTTGATGATGCATTCCAGTCTAGGCGACAAAAAAAAAAAAATCTCTTAATCTATGGTATGTCCTAGAGTATATCTAATAGCTTTAAAACATTTTTTAATCCCAGCTGTCCTGATATGTCTGATTTAGGTTGAAAAGGGACATGTGTAGGCAAAATCTGCTAGAAAAAATGAGGCCCACGGGGGTCTTCCCTGGCAATTACTGTCTGATTCCTATTTATGGTGGCACCAAGTGGGAAATCAGTTAAATTACCAAGTGACTTGATTTGTCATTAGTGTGGGAAATGCTTTAGAGCATATGACTTAGAGAATAGATAACATTTAGATTCAAGTGTGGATTGTGATTTGCTCTGAAAAATTGAATGGCAAAGGAGTTGGGGTGTTTTGTTACTACCCTTATGAATAATTAGTAGTTTTTCAGGGTGTGAGGACAACTATTTCTGAACTCCTTCCAGGATGTAAAACAGCCAGGAAGCCTTGACAGAAGTTGTACAAATTTGGGGTCACTGTCGTGGTGCTGCTGTGAGTTCTTCTGTTGGTGTTAGCTTGCTATTCATGAAGGATGCTTAGCCTCTGTCATGTCATCTGATGTGTGCTTGCCCCATAGTTAGTGTAGTGTGAAAAAGAGAAAGCTTTCCAGGAGTGTTAGAGATGAATCCCTTGATCTCTCTGGCTTCTTGGTAATCCACTGTGATGTATGCAGCCTCCCGTGTTCTACACTGCAAAATCCCTATGTTATTGAATAGAACAGAGAATGTGCACATGAGGGGGCAAGGAGAGGAGGAAGGTTACAAAGTTTGCTTCAAGAACATTGGTTAGTGGAATGAAGCAAGCTGTGCTGTTGCATAGTCATTGGTCTTTCAGATTGCCTCAGAACCGGATCAAGGCAAATGAGGGCCAGAGCAGAGGTTCCTAGAGTGTGTATATTGTTAATGTTTATTCAGATGTCAGTGACAGCAATGAGCTTTTCCAGAATGTCATTGTTTAACCACTGTAGTCCCAGAAAGCTGTCCACAGGTATGTCTACTGCTGTCTTAGTCTCTTGGCTATACATGGAGACTCTTTCTGAGACAGCAAGATTTGCCAATGTTAAGGAGGCTTTGGTATTGAGTCTGTTTCCATAACCATCTAATGAAATCAAGTCCCCATAATGGGATTTTAATAACTGCTTAAAGTTGATATTTAAATCGAAAGTTTGAGGTAAAACAAGACTCTTCTTGTAAATATATTCCTCATTTTAAAAAAAAATTGAAACCTTGGCTGCAAAAGAAGAGGCTCCTTGAATTTCTGCAGCTATCTAAACTGTAGCTATACAATGTTAGTTAAAACTCATTAACTCACTCTCTGTTAGTTTCATTCATATTTCAGGTCTTGAATTTCAAAAAGTGTAACCGAAAGTGTTGTCTAACTGTTACAGTATTAACCTTTTTTTTTTGAAACTTTCCATATTTTTCCAGCAAAGTTTTGTTAAGGATATAATGATGCATATTTTCAGGATTTCTTCTTATCCTTTGCCACCTAAATAAAAACATTAAGTCCAAAAACCATAGTGAGATTCTAAGTCAAACGATTTTGTTTTATTTCTTGCTTGTAAGATTTCATGAGTTTTTTAAAATCATTACAAGTTTCTCAATAAATAGTTGTAGTTTTATGATTGCTGTGTGAATGACTCCCACCTTAAAATTAAATGTTTTGGATTATTTGGGCCTTGAAGGAAAAGCTAACTATCATGAACAGTAGTTATCATAATTAGGTAGTTCTGTTTGCTAGTGGACCAACTATTAGTTTTCAGAAAGGTTGGTTTGGGTTTTTGTTTTAATTACAGTCTATATAATTAGTTCTCAGCATGTTAAGGTAAAAGAGAATTGTAGCAGCAAGTTCCCAATTTCTTCATCTCATTAGGTTTTTAACACGATTATTAGTATCATAATCAGCTATGATGTTTTCTGTTGCAGGTTTTCACATTCTCTGATTTGCAGGGTGTCTTGATTGGCTAATTTGGGCAAATTATTTTGATTGTCTTGATGATGGTTGGCTGATTAGAACACAGCAGGAGTATAATTTCTTCCTGAGAAATGTTGCATTCTTTTGTTTTTTGATACCAGACACTAAGAGGGTTTTTCTTTGTGCACATTTGCCCATAATACTAGCAGAATGCTTGGAAAGCAATTACATTAGTGATGTAATAAACATGAATGCTGTTAGTGGAAAAATTGTCAGTATAAGGATAACATAGGATGAAGGAATTTACCAAAACCACAGGATCAGACTTTCAGTTTTCTTTTTTTCTATGTTTTCTGTGATTTTTGTGGATTCTTAAGCGCCAAAAGAGATGACTTCCTATAAAAGTCTTCAGACTTCCAAGTCTTCCAAATAATTGCTTGATTGTCTACCTTTCTCATTGCACAAAAGTCTTTCCATCTCCTGTTCAGAATGTTCAGTACTTAAATTGAAGATTTTACTGTGGAGCTAAACATTGACTCAGAAGTTAAAAAAGAAAATTTGCCCCCAAAAAAAGAAAGTTTGCCTGTATTATCTCATGCTACTTTTTCTTAGCTAACCTTATTGAAAGTAGTTATTCTAACTAGTAGTTGTTGCCCACCTCTGCCAGGGATTAGCTAGTTTCTTCATTATTTGTATTAAAGGTATTTCCATTCAAACTGCTTTACATGCCTTTTAGTTACTACAAATTTTATTTTTTCTTTTTTTTTTGAGCTGGAGTCTCACTCGGTCACCCAGACTAGAGTACAGTGGCTGCTCCCGGCCACCGCAGCCTTGACCTGCTGGGCTCCGGCGATCCTTCTGCCTCAGCTTTTCGAGTAGCCGGAATTACAGACATGCGCTACCACGCCCGGCTGATTTTTTGATTTATTGTAGAGATGAGGTCTCGCTGCCCAGGTGGGTCTCGAACCCGTGGGCTCAGGCAATTCTTATTTGGTTTAGTGGAAAATAAAGCATTTTAAAATTATTGTTGCTTTATTTTTAAAAGAACTGGTTTTGATACTACAAATATACATAAACAAATAATATACTAAATAACATTTTTAATAATTAGCAAATAATAGTTTAGGCAGAATAGAAAAGTGTGTGCTTAAAATATTGTATTATCAGCCGGGCTCGGTGGCTCAGCCTGTAATCCCGCGCCTTTGGGAGGCTGAGGTGAGTGGATTGCCTGAGCCC